GTACAGAACTGTTGGAAGCAGGGCGTTCCAGTAGCTCTTACGCATCATAATCTCACGTAGTTGATTCTTTGAGGCATTATTATCTCCACTTGACAAGTGAGGCAGCTAAGGTTCAAAGAGGTTAAGAGGGCCGGTGGTACAGCCCAGCAGCGCAGCACCTCCCTGAGAAGCATGAGGTCCTGAGTGCAATGCCCAGTACAAAAAAAAAAAAAAAAAAATTACAAAAAGGTTAAGAGACTTTTCCTAATGTCATTTGGGGTTATGGGGTTTGTTGGTAGGGATTTGCTTCCATCACTAGAGTCTATGCCAACTTCCTAGTCAACAAAAGTCTCTGAAAAAAACAGCGTATTAAGTACAAAGAAAAAACTTAAGATAAATTACTGGGACTTAACCTCTTACAGACTGAAGAGAACCTTGAGGAAAATCTTTGCCATAAAACACCAAGATCCATACTTGTTGGGCATGATAATGCCTCAGGTGACTTTGAGGATAGACGTTGTGGTTTGCAAAGAATGCAGTTTGTCATTGCATTTTGTGACAGTCTTCTATTATGAAAAAACTGTTTACATAAATAAATCAACATGTATATTACTTTCACAAAGAGCTTTACCTTAGCATTGACTCATAAAGCATAAAGGTGAATGTGGACATTTGAATGGAACACTTGGAAATAGTTCAAAATTCTCTTTCATAAGAATTGAAAGTAGTGGGGCTGGGGAGAATTGAAAGTAGTACCTCCACGATTATAGCTTAGTGGTGAAGCATATGTTGAGCATGTTACTTGTGTGTATTATTGTAAGTGCTAGGCTAAATGACTGGAAAGTCAGTTAAAGTAAGTAATCATAGGTTTTGGGGTAGTAAAATATATTAAATTTACAACCTTTGGTAATGTCTTATATAATAGAAAAACTTTCTTTATATATTAATGTAAGAAATCAACAATACAGTCCTTATCGTGAGATGTTTGAGGTAGGTGTAATCTTTTCATTTTGTTTTATTTATTTGATACAGAGTCTTACTATGCAGTTCAAACCCATAGTGACCCTCCTGCCTCAGCTTCCCTAGCACTGGGATTAAATGGCTGGCATGGAATACAGTACCAGAGATCAAACTCAGGTTGTTGTGCTTGCCAGGCAGCTGCTTATGCTGCTGCGCTATTTTCCCAGTCATAATCCTTTCGTTATTTATCCATCCTCCAAAATTGTTGTAAAAGAAAGAAGGTTTTTTTTTAAAGTAAAACATATTTTTTAGATTTTGCTATTCTAAAATATCTCTATTCCTGATTTTACCTTTAAATAATTCATTTTAAAAGAATTGGTAGAAAGGACCAGCTGAATAGTTCAGTGTTTTAAAGCACCTGCTTAGGCAGACACAGGGGCCAAGATTTCGATCCCTGGGCTTGCCATGCAGACCCTGCCCCGAGGGCGCACTGAGACCACAATTGAGACTGGGCATGGTGGCGCAAGCCTGTAATCCCAGCACTTGGGAGGCTGTAAATTGGAGGATCACTAAGAGTCCAATCTACGCAGTGAGACCCTGTAGACCCTGTCTTAAAATAAAACAAAAAAGAATTGGTAGAGCTGGTGCAATAGCTCAGCCAACAAAGCACCTGATTAGACAAGTGCAAGGACTGCGGTTCCATCCCCAGCACCACATTGCCAGGCCAGCCTCACCCCTGGGCACACTGAGCCAGCCACTGCGTGCGGTCGTGGTGTCTCACGCCTGTAATCCCAGCACTGGGGAAGCTGAAAACAGAAGGATCACTATGAGTCCGAGCTGCATAGTGATACTCTGTACCAAATGCATTTTTTTAAAAAAATGTAGTTGAAGCTGGGCTCAGTGGTGTACAGGTATAATCAGCACTTTGAATAGTTGAGGCAGGGGAATTACAGGTTACAATCCTCCCTGGGCAGTTTACCAAGTTCCTGTCTTAGTTACTGTAAAAGCCTTACATTCAATCCTCAGGACCACAGAAATTAAAAGAGAATTTAAGATACAGTAAATCCACAATTCATTAACATTCCAGTTGAGAACTTTCACAGGTGTACTGTATAAGACTTACTTTGTGGGATATGAAGGAATCCAACTTAGATGTTCTCCCAAGACAGAACCCATTTGTAAGGCAGAGTCTTACTGTAGAAGAATCAGTAAGTATGTCACCTAGAGGCTTGTGTCTAAAAGCAGACAAGATGCTTTTGCTTAGTGAATTCCTTCCTTGCAGGATGGTACAGATTTTCAGGAGCCTCTGTCTCACTGTGTATTTCTTTTCCATCTTCAGTCTTCAATACAGAGCAGAAATATTCCCTAGGTTTCCTTGGAGGGATAGATTTCCGGGCATGGAATGAAACAGAGTTCAAAGTTATATTGAGCCTCTTCAGATGGTGTCTATAGTGCATCACTATCTCTGTCTTTCTGTTGCTTTTATTTGTTCCTTCAGTCCTCTGCTTCCTTTCAGCTCAGCTGTATGTAATGATAAGAAAGCAGCAGCCAATTCCATCCAGTCAGAGTGTGTATGTTAGCTGAACCGGTCCTACAGTTACAAAATCATCTAAGGTCTTTGAATTAAACCACTCTTACCACTAAACCAAAGAATATAATAAAGATTTATTTTCATGTTTTATGTGTATAAAATATGCATAGATTATATGAATTTATGGGTATTTACATCAGCTACCCTGAGCAAGAAATAGTCACTCATAGTGAACTCAGTGAAAATACAGCCCTGTGTGTCTCCTGAGAACACACAGAACTGATAGCCCCAAGAATGTTTTACCACAGAGCTTTATTTAAAGACAAGTTATGTAAGGCCTTTGTAGCTGTCTTATTTATATCACAGTATTCAGCTGTAGCATTGCAAGGCTTCTCCATGATCAAGGATTTCATTCCTCTTCAAGGTCCAGTGTGCCTCTCCATTCTCCCAATGTACACAGCATCCTCTCATAAAACCAGCTATTAAAAAATCAAACAACTTGTATTAAAAGTTTGCTCGTGATCCTTCAGTTCATGAGTGTGACAATTGGGTGTTCATGCCTTACGCATGAGATGTGCCTCCCTCAAACCTTGTTATGATGTGGGCACATTACCCGTCTGATGTGAAAAAAAAAAGTTTGCTCGCATTCATGATCAACCTTTTGGCCTGCTCCCTCCTTCGCATGACCCATTTCTATTGTCATGTGACTATGTACAGTATCTGCATCCAAAGATCCATTTTAATAGGATTGCATGCAATTAGGGCTGCGTGGCACGGTGTAATTCGAGCCAGGCCACATCTGCTCCAAAGCCAAGTTAATGGAGCTCAGAGTCACAGACTGGGTCTCCCTAAGGAGGTGAAAGTCATTCTGACCTGTTCACCAAATTGCTGCCTCACAGATTCCAGTATTCTGAGTGTTCACGGAATAGTAGTTTTGATCCAGTCACTCTGATTGGTGCACTCCGTACTGAAAAAGGCCAAACGAGTGGATCGTTCTAACTCCAAGATACAGCTCAGTGTTAGGATACTTGCTTAGCACACAAGGCCAACATATCCAATTCCCAGCACTACAAATAAATAAAAATTAATTAATTAATTAATTAAAGAAGGGCTATTGTCTTAGTCTGGCGGTGATACCAAGCTACTTTAAACTGGATAGTATTTTATAAACAGTAAAAATTTACTGCTTACAATTCTGGAAAGAAATGTACAAGATTCAGTGCCTCCCAGGGTTTTCTGC